CTACCACTATCCGGCTGATCTCTACAGAGTATATTCTCTAGGCAATGAACTGCCTTTTACTCTGCAATCAAAACAAGAGAAGCGGGTACAGAAACAGGACTTACCTTGGAGCCACGCTCATTAAAGATTATCTCTACATCAAGGATTTTGCCGAATTGCTGCAGAGAGACAAGGGAAAAAAAAAAAAAAGATTTATTTTTGGCAATCCATTTTTCCTACCTTTTGGGGGCTGGCTTAGTGCAAGAAGGGAGATGAGAATATTTCCATTTCTAGCATACAGGCAAAGGCATAAAATCCCAGTGACGTGACCCAGTTCTCTCAGGTTAGGACATGCAGATCCTCTTGGTCACAGACCCCAGGTTTTCTCACAAAAGTCTAAAGGAAGAAAAACAATCTCCAGAAGAGTTTTAGGGATTTGAGGTAGCTTTTCTTTTCCCCCTTTTAGTCTAAACAATTCTTTCTTCCCTCATTCTACTATTTCATTTAAGATATGGTTATATGATTTCATCTCAGACATCTAACAATATTTCTCAAACGTAATTCAGCATTTCATCTTCCTCCTGAAGTGGCTATCACAAAGAGAAACTTAACAGTGATTTTGTTTCTCTGGAGGGGATAGTCACAGAAGACTCCCAACCTCAGGTATTCCAAGCCCTAAATCTCCTTTCCTCTCCCCCTCCCTTTATTTTCCAAAACTCCAAGCCTTCAAAAGAATTGATGGCAGACTCAGAAACCATGAAAATGGCCAACCCCCAACAGTTTGTTTTTCAGAAAAATATCATTCAACTTCAACCCGTGACATACAGGTGGCTGTCAATAACTCATGCAAGTTTATCACGTATGATGCAATTCTGACCTCTGCCTCAGCCTGGAGACCCCAAGGAGAGCAGGGCCCCACTACTCTGCACTGTTTCAACAACTGGTTCCAAAGAGCTCCCTACTTAGCACAGAGCAAAAATGGGCAATGACAGCTACAAGCTAGAAAGGAGATTTACCACACTCTGTGGAACCAAATATGGATCACATCCTTCACCTTAGAACATATTAAAACATTTTTATTGAACTGGCCAGATTCAAACCAGTAACCTATAGGTAAAAGCATCACTACTGCAACAGAGCCCCACGATGCTCTGTCCTCTAGAAGCATCAGAGTCGTATTGCCAAACTAGAGGTCTGCTCTCCAGAAAGACAGGTTTAAGATCTCATCTTCAGGAGCGTATATACAGAGCAGACTTCATTCTAGAGATGCATATTGCACTCGACAAATGTTATATCTAAGCATTTTTCCTACCCCGTTATTTACAAAAGCTTCCATCAACATGGTTTTGATCTCACTGCTTGCAGAAGATTTAAAGGTGGTAGCAAATGAAGGAAAGGTCAACAAGAAAAGAAAGGATGGTTTCACAGTTAGGAGAGAAGATGAACACAGCCTCCGGGCACTGGGACACTCTGCACTTTGCCATGGTGCTCTTAATATAATATTTGTCATTTTTTTTAAATTAACATTTCCATTCAGAGTCAAACAGGTATAATGCTCATTTTGTGGGTGCCCTGCTTGAAAGACTTGTGGCCAGATTTGCAAACATGGAACATTTACAACAGTGAGCCATGATGACTGAGGAGAAGCTCTGAATATGTAAAGCAATAAAAAGCTATTAAGTCCCTTGAACAAGTATTCCACAACTGTCTTTATGCAAACAAAATGCTTCCAACAATTTTAGCTATAGTTTCTGTCTGCTTCCATTCTCCATTCTTAAAAAGGAGATAGTTGTATTCTTTTACAAATGTTGGTTCACAGATGTTGTTTTTACTGTTCTATTGTTTAAAGACAATACTTGATCTTCTATTCATCCCAAGAACAATTGAATTCACAATATCCCACGTTACACGAAGTTTAAATAATGCTAATGTAAACATGCATCTTCCTTGAAACCTCAACATCTCAACAGCTTAGGCTTGATCCACGCTGGATCCTCTTTTGATTACTGCTGTGCCAATCACAGCTAAAATACATTTTCTATTTCTATCCCATGCTTGGTGTGGGCTTGTCTATAAAGGAGATTAGCCATTGATTGCTTTTTGTTGTCTTTGTTGCATATGGCTTGGGCAGTGCCATGAAAAAAATCAGTCATGATTGCTTTCTTGGTAAACTATTTGAGTGTTGTTACACGACAGGGGCTGAACCAATTTAACAGCTCGCGGCTGCTGAAGGCTGTCCCTGCTCCCTTGTCCTTCCTTGTCTGGTCTCACCAGCTTCCTAAAGCTGGCCCCAGTTTTCATTCTCACCTGTAGATAAACTGATACAGCTCATGAATCCTGCGAAAAAGTAGCTGAACAAAAGGAATAAATACAAGGTTTTTGACAACTTACTCATCTGTAGTGGCTCAAAGGATCAGGTGAGCATTAGGGCTCTGAAAAGCAAAAGGGAGTGGAAAGCAGCACACCCTGCCCAAGAGCAGGATCTGTCCCTGACAGATCAGCTCAGCTGCCTAGCCTTGCCACACACGCTGAAACAGCCCAGCTCTCGATAAATGCAAATGCCAATATTATTTTCAGAATCTTCAAAGCCATCAAAAATCACCATTTTCTACCTCATTAGAATCATCTTGAAAGAGAACAAACTGTGCAGCTTCTGGTGCACAATTATGCCGTGCCATCTTCCCCTTTCTCCACACCCAGCTGGGCCTGGATCCTCGGGTATTACTGCCAGCGCTGCCTGCCAGCCCCGTTCGGCTGAGCTCACCGCGCAGGGTTTCCACACCAACAGGAAATCCTGTCTTGTATGTTTAATTTCTTGTGGCTGACAAAAAGCTGGCAGTAACGCTGGATGCAAGTGATCTGACCTAGCTCCGTGAGAGGTGGCAGAGCTGCCTCCCTGCCCTGTAGATGATGGAGGTACATCGTTTCCTAGATGACAGAATTAAGATCACCAAATCCTGCAGTTGCAGCGAGCACAGGCTTGACATCTACTGCAATGGGCTACATCCATCCATGCAAACTGCTCCAACCTCTTTTCTACCTAGGAGCTGTGGGTGTTTGAAGGGGCAGGAGGGAAGGACCTGTTTAGGAGAGAAGCAGCAGAGACAACAGGGGCTAACTGCTGAACTGAGGTTTGCTGGGGAGGGGTTTCCTGCTCCATGAAATTCCCTGGAAGAAAGCAGCATGGCTGTGAGGCAGGAGGACGTACACCGGGTTCTTCAAGACTCTGCTGCAGCCGTTGCCACAGCTGCTCTGACAGCTACTAACACCACGGCTCTCGTCCTCGCTGCTGCAACAGTCACAGCAGGTCCAGCACTGGAGGCACTTTTTTTTTTGGTAGCATGCCAGAATTTTCCTGAAGAATGAAAGCAGGAAAAAAGAACTAGTTCATTTTAACAGTTTATATCTCCTTCAAAGCTGAATATAATTTAGCGGAACGTAAAAAGGCACTTTGTTCTCTGATGGTGCTTGCCCTACCAAATGTCAACAGCCTACTGCAAACAATGGAAATTTTAAGAGCTCCTTAGTGAAGGGTCACAATTTTTGTATGGAAAATACTAGGCCATCTAAATACAAGGGTCAACACCAAATGCCCCCATAGTAATTTTTTAAAATCATGTATACAGGCATGTTTGTATTTTCCAGCAGACAGACGGTCTGGCCAAATAAAACAAGACCCATGCTTAGGTCATCCATGAGGACTAACCCTCTAATCTCTAACCTTGAAGACATGAATCACTGTGCCCACAGACCCGATTTGTTCACTCAATGATTACCAAGAACTCCTACTTACAACCCTGCACAGCAGCCGGGGAAAAAAAATCCTCAGCAGTGTTCACAGCCTCTGAAGAAAGCATTGCAGGACTACACAGCTCAAATGCTCCCCACCATGACTTAAAAAGCTTACTATGTGACCAAGAAGCCAGCATCCCCCCTCACATGTCAGGTTGTGCAAGAAGCCTCCTCCATGAACCGCTAGCTCGTGCACACGCCATATGATGGCTAGATATACACACACTTCCAGTCACACCATGGCATAGGAGCTATAGCATCATGTTTTATCTTAGTGCTTCATTCCCTGGAGTGACCTTGTACCAGCTTTTAGTTACTTTTCTGTAAAGAAGGTAAATGAGAATCATCTCCTCTACAATGGCAACAGGGGCTGTTGATAATAACCGTTTTAAGAGGCTTAAAGATACTAACAGACATCAGCTATTACCAGAACCCGATTTTCTTTCTTGAACATGATGTACCTTTATCATAGATGCAAGGGCATTGCGCAAGGAAAGGTATATGCATGCTGTGTGTTTCTTTCCACCCAGATGACATGAAGGCAGCAGATTTTTCCAGCAGAGGCCATAACTACATTACATATAATAAATTTGAGAGATCTGGCACCAGAGAGCTTTTGCCTTCCAAGGCACTGACAGTTTGGTAGGGCCCCTCCTGTATGCTCTGTTCCAGCTGGCCCTGCCTCCTCTCCCTGTCTAGAGCATTCAAAATCAGCTCCAAAACGTGCCAGACAAATAACTTAACCCTCAGGATGCAAACAACACAGAGTACAAAGCGAATTCTCTAGAAATCACGGAGCAAAAAAAGGTAACGAGACACCATGCAACAACCTCACATCCCTACAGGAGAACTCTCTATGCCCAAGCAGCTTTGCACTGGCCCTACAAAATTCACTTAGAGATGAGTGCAGAGAACTATCTAAACCTCAAAGGGGCCAAACAGTCCATTCTCAAAGATGGTCGAAATTCAAAATAGCCAGGAAACCAACCTCCTGTGCAGGAAACCATTTCAGGTCCTCAGCTTTGAGATGCATGAGTAAGAGCATTTCATATGCAGGATAGGCCCATGCTGCAGAGAGCGTCCTTACCCTAGCTCCCGGCTCCATGGGATATACTTTCAGCTGAGAACAGCTGGCTCCATCGTAGCGTGTATTAGTCAGTGCTTAGTTATGGCAGCATGGGGTCTGCCAGAGCTATGCTGCTATCAGTACATGAACTTCCTCACCTAAATCTGGGTCTGGATTTTAAAGCTCTTCAAAATAGTGGGGCCAACCCAGCTACAGCCAACCCTGTTAAGCCCAGCTACACCAGTATGCTTTGCTGAGAGGAAGATGGAAGCATTAAGGATTTATAAACCAAAGCACTACCATAGTTTACCAACTGAACAG